GCGGGTGCTGTAGGGGCGCCAGCCTTTACCGGTGGGCAGCAGCTTCGGGGAGCAGGCCCAGCCAGCTGTTCAGTTGTAGGTGAAAATTATGAATCCGCGAAACAATGAACCCCGAGTCGGGAAGCACCAAACGGTGCGTCCCCTCCCGGGCCCCTCACGGCCGGTGGGGTGGGTCCCGCCCCGCCCCCCCCTCCCTGGCCACCCCTGCCCGGCCCAGGCGCGCTGGGCAGTGGGCAGAGGGTCCCTGGGCCAGCGAGGCCCCGCCCACTGCCAGCCTCTGCCCCCACACCCAGGCAGCCGGCGGGGAGAGCCCACGGCGCGGCCGAGGGCACCGGCAGGCTCCAGCCTGGGCACAGGACCAAACGCTCCAGCCCATGGACCTGTCCGAGGCTGGTCTGAGGCCAGGACACAGTCTGAGAGGAAGGGACGTGCCCAGCTTGCCCTACCCAGCAGGGCCTGCACTCAAAACCCCAGGGCCAGAGCCGCTGCCCCCCCCAGGGTCACCTGCTTGCCCGGCTGGGTGGGGCCAGATGACGCAGACTCCACGGAGGGGCAGCGCCCTGGGCTGGGCAGAGCTTCCCAGCGCAGCTTCCGTGAGCTCCAGCCCGGGTTAGGACTTTGCAGGTGGCAGGGGGTGCTGCAAGTTTGAGCAGAGGGAGGCAGGGCCAGCTGTGGGAGGGACAGTGCTGGCCGCGCTCCAGGCCGGCGCTGGGGCTGTCTGGGAGGAAACCGGCCGTGCGGGGGGCACAGGACCGCACGGGGCCGCTGCCCGCGAGGTGCTCGCTCTGAGAAGCAGCGTCCCAGAGCCTCGCGTGTGCCAGGCGACGCTGTCACGGGGCCCTGCGGCCGTCCCCTCGCAGGTGGGAGACCTGGACGTTGTACTCGGCGCCGCCGTCCGGGTGGCAAGTGGAGCCGGAACCGGGTCCTCTGGACCTGCACTGAGACGGCAAAGGGAACCTGGTAGGGACCTGCCGTGTTTACAGGTGAATTCTTAAACGCGGAAATGCGGACCACGAAGAACCACACCGGTAGACTTAGCCACAGCAACAGTGAACATTTAAATCTGGTTTTTTTTTAAAGATTTATTTATTTGTGCATACAGAACTGGGGTACAGGCCAGAGGCTCAGGAGCGGTGAGAGGCTTCCCCAGGGACAGAGCGGGGAGCAGAACAGGCAGATGGACGAAGTCCACTGCTGAGGGGAGCGGCGGGCGGGTCAGGAGAGGTCTGCCGCGCCCTGGGGTCACCTCCGGGGCAGGCGGGGATCAAACTCGTGCGGAAGTGGCTTTAGCTTCTCAGTGCCGCGCTCTGACCCGCTGCGCCCCCGGGGAGGGCCACACTTAAATCTGTTGTTAAAAGCCACCGTGAGGAGAGTACAGCGCCAAGGTACAAGCCGGGAGAAGTATTTGCAAGACACGTAACCGACGAGGGAACGGCCAGCTGGACTTACCCGACTCCTAGGACGGACAGGGGAGGCCGGGACGAGGGCGCTCCACGCTGCCCTGCCACGCGGCCGTGCCAGCTGGATCTCCGCCGCGGGGGGCCCCAGGGCGCGGCAGACCTCTCCTGTCCCCCGCTGCTCCCCGCAGCAGTGGACGTCGTCCATCGCCTGTTCTGCTCCCTGCTCTGTCTCTGGTGAGTCCTCTCACCCCTGCACCTCTGGCCTGTGCCCCCGGTCTGTATGCACAGATAAATAAACCTTCAAAAAAATTATTCCTGCTCATGAGAGACCATGTCGTCTACGTGTGCTGACACTGCTGGCCCCACACCTTACTCCAGAGCCTCGTCCCCACCACAGGGGAGACTCGCTGGCCCCGTTAGCCCCAGGGCCTCTGCGACTGCCTCTGGGAACGGGCCTCAGGGACTTGCGCCGTCCGCGGGCAGGTGCAGCAGGCTCTCGATTCTGCCCCGCACCTCTCCCCACCTCTCCCCACCCTCAGGCCGGGGCAGGGCCCCGGCGGCCACTGGGAGGGCCGGTCCGCAGAGCTGAGGCCCCGGAGCGGCATCCGTCCCCAGGGGACCGAGTGTCCAGCGCCAGCCCCTCGCCGCCTGGCTGATGCCGGGCCTGAGCCTGCCAGGCTACACGCGTGCGAGCCGGGGGGCGCTGCCGCGCCCGGCCAGGGGTCTCGGGTGGCCTGTTGCGTGGCAGTCGGTGGCGGACACCGAGCGCTTGCACGTTCGCGGAGTGCAGCTATCACTTGCCAGCTCTGTGAGAAGCCCCTCGGTGCTGACGCGTCCTGGGGAAGCAGGCGTCCATCTCGTGCTCACGGCCCGGCCACGGTGTGGAGCGGAGTAGAGGTCTTGCTGAATCTCCTCTTTCGGATGCGGGCACACGACGGTCCCGCACACAGGATCTGCAGCTCGCGCCGCCGCGCGGGGTCTGGCGTGTGCCCAGGCGTGCGGCTCAGGGCTGAGAGCAGCCTGGCCTAGAGCCAGTGCGGGGCAGAGGCGGACGGGGCCTGCCGGGGGCCAGGAGACAGACACGCAGCCACTCAGGACACGGGCGCCCCTGAGCGAGCGCGTGGCTGCGGATGTCAAGCCCCCCCGGCTCGGGGCTCGCGAGCGGCGAGCTTCTGTCCAAGCAGCTGCCCTGGCGGCTTAGTCCTTAGTCGGGGCCCGGGGCTACCGCTCCCCGAGGGTGTCCCGGGCTGGAACCTTCCCGAAGGCACCTGTGGAGCTGACCGTGGTGCTGGCGGAGCTCCCGGTGACCAGCCGGACTTGGCACCCGCCTGGGCTTGCAGTCCCACACCAGCTCGCTGCGGCCCTGCTTGTGAACATACGACGGGTGGGGGGTCGGGGGCCGCGTCGGGGCTGTGCCGCCGATCGGCCATTCGTGGGCGGGAGGCCTCTGGGGGTGCCTGGTGCAGCGACGTGGGTCAGACAGTGCCAGGCCAGGATCAGGGTGAAGGCGAAGAGGGTTTTCTGGGTCTTCATTCTGCGTCATGTCAGCCGCACGCAAGGCGAGGCGGGCCACACGCGCCTCTTGTCTGCTCGGGGACCCCAGTCTCCTCCGCGCTCCGGCTCGCCACCCCCCGGCCTCGCTGCTCTTCTCCTCCCACGCTTCTGCCCTGAATTCAGCGCCACAGGGCGCACCTTGGAAGCCCTCAGCCCCACCGCGGCTCCCGCCC